TTTTAAATCTTTACAACAGATCAAGATGTAGGAGCTTACACAGAGCACAGTTCGTTTATTTAGGTACTCGACCGCTGCTCCTCTGGACACAAATACCCCTGGTAACAGTGTGTGCATAGTCTCTGCTTTGCTTTTTATAATTTTAAAGAAAATAATACATTTGACTGTACTTGAGTCTGTGCAAATAATCCTTCAGAAGAAATCCCAAGACTGTCTGTAGAGGTCACCTGGCCTCTTGGGAGTGAGTAGATGAGTCGGTGTCTCCAGATAAAGTGCTCCTGTCCGGCAGAACACAAGGCCTTCAAGCGTTGGGAAGTTCCGATCAGGCAAGACTCCCTCATACGAACTCCAGCTTCCCGTGCCCGCTGTACATGCCCCAGTGGACCAGGGACAGGACCTTATCGTTGCTGAGGTCTGCTTGTCGCATCTTGTCACACGTCAGGCAGCAGTTCTCGTGCCCGCTCACCGGCACCATGCACTCCAAGTCTAACTTGGCCACCTGCCCCTTTTCGGAATGGTGTCCGTGGAAGCTGTAGTGCAAACGAGACAGCATCTGCTGCCGCTGGTCCTGCAGCCGCCTGTTCTCACTCCGGAGCATCCTCAAGGCCAACGTAATAAGCAGCACTAAGATCAGCCCACCGGCGATGGGAACTGCGATCACGGCTGCCCGGAACCACAGCTCTCTGGAGGAAGTCAGTTCCTGCACCTTGGTGATCAGGTTTCTGCTCCCATCGTGCTGGTACCTGCTTCCTGGTCCTAGGCGAGGACAAACAGAGGGTGCATCAGAGGCATTCTCCACCACCTGCCCGCTTCAAACGAGGCATCTGGCACAAATCGCTCACAACCCCATCGATGACATTGAGAAAATACATATCGCAAAACTATCAGAGTGGGCTACAAACACATTGTGTACAAGCCGTCATTTTGGAGATACAAGGAATGGTCTTTTCATGTCTTCAAAATGTTGAAGAAACAGGCAAAACCTATTATGCAGACAGACATCTAATACTCAGCAGACACAAAGCCGCTCAATAGAAGCGCATCTTTGCATTCAGCCCTGCCTCTCCCTCGGCTGTCTCTAATTACATTAACAACAAAATCAATAGCAGACTCCCAGAGTCCCTGGCCGCCACAGGTCTCAGTCGGGCGCCTCCGCCCAGCTCCTACCCACCTGAGGCCTCGCCCCGGGGCGGGGACAGCACATCGTGCAGGCCCCTGTAATTGCACATGTCTTCATGACAGCACTCCAGCCAGGGCACGGCGCTGCCGCCAGAGTGGTTCTGGGCCTGTGTGGCTCGGCAGACGTCTGCTGCGCTTGAGAGAGAGTCCAGGCAGCCATGGGTGAGCGGGGAGTTCGCGTTCTGAGGATCCAGAAGTCTGGAGAAGCAGGCGCTGAGCTCAGACTTACACATATACCCAGTCGCCACGCAATGGGCGGCATCGCAGTAGCACCGAATTTCTCCTGAAAACAATGGGAAACCATGTCAAACGCTGAGGCCAGAGACGGCAACTCTGCTAAGTCCAAGTTCAAAGGCACTAATTTTAGATTCTTCGAGATGAGTGCTCACAGCAACATGCCACATACACTGGAACGCCTTGAAGCAGCAGCGCTTAAAGCTCGGTTAAATATCATTTCAGACAAGCAGTAAGCCTCACAGCACATTTCTGATGAGACACAGAGAAATGAAAATGCTTCTGGTTTTGAAGGAAAAGCCATCACCAACAGTTTCTTCTACCATGAGGTTGTAAGGACACATTATTTATTCATTTTAATCCTACACAACCTAGGCTTTTGTCTATATAAATATTTGATCGGAACTACTGAATTGTTTACTATCCTGAAGACTGGGCCAAGATTTAAGAGCTTGAGCTAACACCTTATAAAGTTTTTAGCTAGAAACACGACAATCTAGAAATTGCCCAGGTCAGGAGGTTTTTAAACTATGAAACTGGGCAGCTATTTGCAACCTCTCTAGAAAAGGCAAACTTTGCCTATAAAGATCTTTTCATGCAGAGCAGCTTTTAGTCAGTATATTGTAAAACAGGAACTAGGCAGTTTACAATTAGTGGTTTGCTTGCCAAAGTCAATTTCTTTCAGCCCAAATGGAAAGTCATAAAAGGGGGGAGAGGCCGCACAACTGCAAGGCGCCCCCTCCCCCCTGGGCTTTACATGCAACTCAACATGTGATCGAAAGGGGAAACACCACGCTGCAAAGCCTCTGCTGGGTCAATGAAAACTCCTTCAGGAAACCTCAAATTTTTTGACAGGAAGTGATTAAAAGTTTCCTTTATAAAAACTTATTTTGCGAGTTGCAAAAGCTGTTAACATTGGTCACAAAGCAAGGCTTGCGCATGGATGTCGCCTCTGAAATTCCAGTCCCCAGCCGCGGTGCTATCCAGCCAGGAGCACTCTGGCACCATCCCCAGCACAGCAGCAGACGAACGCGCCCACCTTTCTTTCTTCCCAACTCCTGATCTAAGATCTGTCTGGGGACTGAAACCACTCTGAAATTAAACACTGGCATTGTGGCTTTACAAACCTCTTCCCACAATCACCTTTCTTCCTCCTCCTCTTTGTGAACGCCTGAGTAAGGTGTCGCATTTAATTATCTGTCCAAATTCCAGGGCACCACACGGTGCAGTTTTCACCCCAGCTGCTAATGCCTCAGCTCTAGGAAAAACCAGCCCGGGACAAAACACCAATCTCTGGCAACCCCGAACAGATAAAGCCAGAGGTCTTGCTCCTAACTGCTGTCCTGGGTTCAGGTCCAAGGCCCTTCCACAGCCTCCTCTGTTTCAAGGAATAACCTTGGTCTGCAGGAATCACTTTTTCCTCCTCTTTCCAAGCCTGATTTGTTGTCAGCGGCTTTGGATGGTGATGCCTGCACATCCTCAGACTGGCAAATTCCATACAGATTGAAAGTATAAATAAAACAGGTTAAAAGTCCAATTTGCACCTATTAGCCCTCACCTGGTGCAGAAAAGGAAAACTGAACACAAGCTTCAGTGTTTACAAGGGCCTACATAAAGTACTGTATTTTCAGTGACCTAAAACATTCTAGTAAAATTTTGACAGGTACCTGGGAAAGTTCTAAGACTTTCTTTGAAAAAACGAAACAAAACAAAAAAACTGGAGCCACACTTCTGCCAGGAGAACGGCCTTTTGTGTTACTGTGTTAAAACTGTATTTCTGTCGTTTCATAAAGTTTCTTCCTATGGCATGCGTAAGGCCAGGAGGGGACTGGTATTTTGAAACCGGGAACAATGCCCTTCTGTTTCCCCCCTTTCTCGTTACTGTATGTGGTGATTAAACAAAAATGTCTGCTGCAGTCAAGATGGCTACAGGAGGCTGCTGCGCCCCGGCGTTTGAAGTCCGCAGCCCTGAAATCTCTGATCCCCTAATTATATCATTATCAGGCACATAGTTTCGGTATCTGTGACTTCTTCGCGTCAGCCCTGTCCCTCCCTCCTCGCCGGCCTTTGAAAGGGCCAGGAGGCTCCTCCGCGGCCGCCAGGGCTGTTATTTAGGGTTAATTACACCCTTCCTTCCAAAATAAATAAATACTGCAGCACATCATCCTGAGGGCCAGCTGATCCTTTAACCTCAGGGCTGCTAGGCGGCAATTAGAGAAAAGTAGGGGGTGCGGAGGCTAAATAATGCTTCCCATTTAAAATTACCCCCTCGGAGAACACAGCAGGCGGCGAGGGGAACCCCGAGTCTGGGTCACCCCCCGAAGCGAGCGCGCGCCTGCGGGAGGGGACGCGGGCCTGGGCCCTGTACCCCAAGGGTGAGGGGACCCCGGCACCCCGAGAGACACC